CGCCAGCAGGAGCGGCTGCGCAGGCAGAGCCCGGAGCCACCACTGCCGCCTCCGGAGCGGGCTCTGTCCCCTGCCGAGCGCCGGGCCCTGGAGGCTGAGAAGCGGGCTCTGTGGAGGGCGGCCAGGTGAGGCTGGCGCCCCCACACTGCCCTCCAGGCCCTGCCCGCCCGCCCTGGCTGCAGCCCAGCTGCTCACTGCCCACTCCTGCAGGATGAAGTCGCAGGCAGAGCCCGGAGCCACCACTGCCGCCTCCGGAGCGGGCTCTGTCCCCTGCCGAGCGCCGGGCCCTGGAGGCTGAGAAGCGGGCTCTGTGGAGGGCGGCCAGGTGAGGCTGGCGCCCCCACACTGCCCTCCAGGCCCTGCCCGCCCGCCCTGGCTGCAGCCCAGCTGCTCACTGCCCACTCCTGCAGGATGAAGTCCCTGGAGCAGGACGCCCTCCGCGCACAGATGGTCCTCTGCAAGTCCCAGGAGGGCCGTAGCAAGCGTGGGCCCCTGGAGCGGCTGGCCGAGACCCCTTCGCCCGCACCCACGCCGTCGCCCACCCCCTTGGAAGGTGTGTGTCAGGGAGGGGGAGGGCTGAGCCTGCCCCACGGACTTGCCCCAATGGCGGCTTTCTGTTTGCCAGACCTCAGCCCACAGGCCAGCACCTCCTCTCCCGGACGCTTGGTGAGGAGCCATGGGCTGTCCCCTCCCTCCCTCTCCCCCTCGCAGCCTTGGGGAGGGGTCCACGCCCACCCCGCGGCCCTCACCTCCTCCTCTCCCTCTCTGCCTCTCCCCCTCACGCTCTCCTTTCAAGCCCTTGTCTGGAAAGAAGTTTGACTACAGGGCGTTTGCAGCCCTCCCTTCTTCCAGACCTGTCTGTGACATCCAGGTACCTCTGCTTCCAACCCCAGCCCTCCTGCACTCCTGCCACCCCACCTGTGCCCGTCACCTGCTCTGTCTTGGGTGTAGGGCCTCCCCACTATGCCCATCCTTCCTCCGGGGCTCTGCCCCCGCACACTCAGCCCTGAGGGCAGGGGGCCACCGAGGCCTGTGCGTGGTCTCAGCTGGTGCTTGGCCTGCCCTGATCAGCCCTTCTGCCCACCACAGTCGCCCAACCTTGCAGAGGAGCTGCGGCCCTCGGAGCCGTCTCCCATTCCCGGTGAGTTGGCAGGGGGGTACCAGGCTGTCCTCTGCCCACCTCGTCCCCACACCTCCCCCCAGGCTGTCCCCTGTCCCCCCCAGGTTGCCTCCTGCTCACTGCATCCCCGCACCTCCCCCCAGGCCCACAGGAGGAGGACCGGGAGGTGGCCCTGGTGCTTTTGGGCAGGCCCTCGCCCAGCACGTTGGGCCCCGAAGATGCAACGCTGTGCAGCAGCCGCCGTCCCATGCGGCCTGGGCGCCGTGGCCTGGGGCCCGTGCCCTCCTAGAGGGGCAGGCACTTCCCTCCCCCCCATGACTTGTATGGGGGCCTTGCCAGCTCCAGCACCAGCCAAGCCCCGATCTTTTAACCTGGGTGTTAGCATTTTAAAGAGACCCCTCAGGAGCTCTGGCCTCACTAACTGCCCCTCCCCTGCAGGACTTCTTGGCGAGACTGTAACTAGTGATGTTTGTACAACCAAAGACTCTATTTTGTGGTTTAAGGATAATAAAATTGACTACGTTTTACCTCTGTCTGTCCCCCCACTCACCAACACCCACCCATCCTCCTTCCTTGGTTTGCGGGATCCGAGAGCGGCACCCCAAGAGCGCTGCCAACCAACGTGCTCAGGTGCAGCAGGGGAGCGCGCGCAAGCCCCTCCCCGCACGGCGTGCTCGGACTCGTCGGCGACGCAGTGTCCTAGGGCTCGCTCTTTATTGCGGCCCAAGCAGGAGGCCCGGGCCAAGCAGCTGTACGCGTCCCGGGAGCAGCGCCTGCAGCTGCTCAGTCGGCGGCCACCGGGCCTTGGTGACGAAGAAGAGGCGGAAGTGCTCCAGGCGCGCCTGCTGGAACTGGGTGGGGTCGTACTCGGGCCCATCGCAGGGCCTCAGCAGCGACAGGTACGCCTCCCGCTCCAGCAGCCCACGGCTCAGCACCGCCCGGGCCAGGCCCCGCC